CCTTAGACCACGGAAACCAATAGGATATACGTGCAGATTTAACCACCAGGCACTTTCTCTCATACAACTGACTGAAACGCTCACACATAGTGGAGCTATATATATTAGCTAGAAAAGTTTGTAAGTCGCAGCTTGGAAATCCTATTTGAGCAATGTTATTATTGTTTATCCATTTGTTATTATTGTGTTTATGGTGCTACGCAGCAAACGTAATTTGAATAATTTATACCATGATTTCCAAAACTGTATTATTGAGATAACCGAAGTGTATTTATAATAACATTTTTAAGCTTCACCGTACTATTAAACATTACTATGGAGTTTTAATTGTTTATTTTAAGTGCCTATACAAACATTTTAAAAAAATTATAAGCCTATAGACTACTTATTAAAGTTAAAATCAAATATGTTATTTGCAAATCTATGACAATTATACTCCTTAAAATACTTACTTGTTTGGAAATATGTTACATTTCCATCAGAAAATGTAACGGTAACGTCATTTTCACTTCCTACCATGTACGATAGCATACAATCGTAGCGACCGACCGTAGCTACACAATCAATTGTTGTGTCTAATACGTCATACACGACTGTAATGATGTGTTTGCTTACTAAAGATTTGTTAAGTTTGTCACTCACTTCAAATGTCGTTGATCGGATACCAGGTGTTCTAAAGACACAAATGAGCATATAAAAGTAATAACTTTTCTAATATTCCACGATTGTTTATTTGATTTGATTCGATTAATTGCGATACTGTACATGAATTATACAAACAATTTGAAAACGACATGAATGCAAAACTTAGTAAAATCACGTGGTATCAAGGATTAACCCTATAAATCCCAAGGGGATTTACATCCTGAGGGGTCCTTTTAACGCTTAAATAATAAACTGAAGACATTTTGACAAATCAGGGCTCATGTAAATGATCGCTGTAGTGTTTTGTTTATGTTGATTTGATCTATGCACTTGATCGATGTCGCGCGTGACCAGTTTGTATATACGTTATTAAAACGTGTTTTGTTTCTCACTCAAATATTTTCTGTATTTATTTACATCTACATAGAGTATATATGCCTACAGGCCTATACCAGTTCCTAAAGTTGGCCTATGTAATTTATGTTGGTTTTGCCATAAAATTGTCTGAAATATTTCATCAGTCATGGATCATTCTTTTGTTCTCTGAAAACGCAGTTAACAGTTCAGAAATGCCATAAGCTCTGAGAGCGGAGGGGCTAAGTCCCCTCTCACCCCACCAGAGAGTCTTAACCCCTGGACCCCGGCAGGGGCCCTACGCGCCCCTGGCCCCAAGTGTCTGTTTGTTCGCTCCGCTCGCAAACTTCGCCCGCATATTAGGGCCCCAATAACAGTCAACATCAGAGCCCCACAAACTCCGTGACGCCACTGTTTTGAAATCACTCCCCCAAACCAATCCAGTGAGTCATTGTTGGGAAGGTCTGAATAGCTTATCCAAGGCAATGTCGGCCGCAAAAATGTACAAAGCATGTAATTTTTTTTGTATTCATAAATGAGTTTATCAATGACGATATATAGGCCTAGTTCAATAGACAGGTCGACTAGGCCTAAGCCTAGGTGGACCTTTGTTGTATTGTATTATTCCTATTGTATTTTTCATGCTTTTATATCTGTTTTTATATTATATTTTAGTAATGAAAATCTATTTATCACACATATCCTTACACGTATTGATTTTTCATAACATAAACCTACTACACAGACATACTTGAATTATTTTTACAAAAAGACAGGTAACTTAATTTTCCTATTCCGCTAATAATTAAGTGCAGTAAACAACATTAAGTATCTCACAGAAATACATGCTCCTGGATTCCAACATCTCCTAAAATGGTTCGTTCATCTCCGAAGTTGAATCTATAACTTGAAACTTGGTGAGAAGGCTCAACGCTCGCTGTTATAGTGTATGGTGCATCGCCTTGAAGCATTTTTATACTTACACCTGTTGGATAAATTACGTTAACGTGAATGATGGCTTCAGATAAATAAAAAAATAAATAAAATAAAATATGATACAAACAAGGGGTGGCGCCAGCTGGGGAGGGGGAAAGGCCCCCGTTGAGGAGAGAAAACAAATTATTTTTTACATATTATTAAACCCTGAAATTTATCAAATATGTCATAGGCCCTGTTTCCGGTGCATCTCTGGATCACTTCTGTAAGATTTTGAGCGGCGCCCGACCACGCCCACATACGCTCGGGGGATACTGGCCTTCCGTTTGAGGACATCGAACCCCACCCCGTCTGGCAAACCTTCCCCTGCTGACACCGAAACAAAATTAAAAAGATGATAAATAGGTATAACAAAATATATGAACAGACGGTAGAAGAAGAATACGTGAGCGAAATTGAGCAGAAAAGTATCTATAAAAAATAAAATGACGAATGACGAATCCTAAAGCCGGGCACTTACTGCGTGGTACGACGGTCGTACGACCGTCGCACGACGAATCCACCTCTGCTTCCGGAGAGCGATAGACGACGTAACGCCGTCTGCTGATTGTCAGTGGCAGTCTGAACGGATCCTCATTTAAAAAGCGATCCGTTGGTTCCGCGCCGTCGCGTGCGTTCGTCGTCGCGTTGCCGTCGCGCAAAGTGGGTACCCGGCTTAACTGGCAGTTTTGTGAACGTTTTATGCAAAACAGTGAGTTTTTAGTTTATTTTTTCCCCACGAAACTACAATACTGATCAATTATTGTCATCACATTATTATTTAGAATTCCCAAAGTTAAATATTACTAAATGTACGTATCAATATTAATAAAGTAGGACCTATTATTATGATATCACTCATTTGCTATATTACGGTATGTATGCGATCATAGAAAAAATTGAACACTGTTCTATTTTCTTTATAACAGATCAACCACAACGTTGATGATTATATACGAACAGTAATAAAATAATATTGGTGTATGATTCTTTATTTTCAATCGTTAAGTGCGGCGTAAAATTGATTGTTGCTTTTAACGATGTGTTTTAAATACAATTAAATCCAGGTTAAATGCCATTTGCAAGATTATTGGGAGTAAGTACGTGACATGCCTAGTAACAAACGCGATTAATTGTCTTTTCTTGAAATTTTAATTGCAGCATTTAAATTTGCATTAAAATTGATGGAAAGTCCACCCTCCCACGAGCGGGGTAAATTTGACCATTGATGCATTTCGAATGGACGTTCCAATATATCGCGAAGCTGCTCTGTGTTCTTCTATTTATTATCTTTCATGAGATGCATTATGCTATTGTTTGTAACCAATGATAGAACGTACAAAATGTACCTCCACGTAGCACACAGTGAAATATGAAATCTTATCAGTACCTGATTAAATAATTATGTTAATAACCATTTTCTAGGCATGCAAATGCACGTGCTCACCAATATGAATGAAGTTCTAATCACCTTATTCTTTACACCACTTAATATATAATATGAAAAACATTCGCATGTCAATCATATACGATCATCATTATATGATCGAGCGTATTACATCATGTTAATCATATAACCCAACATAATTAATACTAGTGGCTGGGGGGCTTCATGTCCAAATCTTATTAAAAATGATGTCCCTTCGATGTGCATGAGCGGTTTATCAACGGACACAAACTCCCTTGATAAGTGTTCCTTTCTTATCATTATTACATACCTTTTAACTATAGTTATGATTATGCAAAACTAAATTCTTCTATTCTACTTCGACTGCCTCTATACCAGCGCACCTTTATCGAGAATAGATCTGAGCTGTATATCTAAACAATAAACGCACATTAATTTATGCAGTACGTGTATATTTTTTTCTAAAATATTTGTTCAAAGCGCATCCTTGGAAGATGCTTTTATACATACCCAATTTATTAGCCATAGGACGAAATCAATTATCTATAAAAACGTCAGATGTGTGTGGATGATACAAAGGCGACAATATTAATAATTTATCATCGAATGAATTTTATGGCACGTTATTAATTTTAAATTGATCTCAATCGATCACAGTTTCTATAAAAGTTTTTTTTTTTTCCAATCATTTTTTTTTTCAACTCCTACACTGACCTCGTGAAAAATGTTAACATTGTATATACATTTATCACGGGATGTTAATATTTTTATTCAACTTTTATCACAAGTACAATGATTATTATTATATATTTATTAATTGTCTTATATTTTGAAGACTTTGAAGACTAACAAATATTTTATTAGTGACTTTTTATTAGGGGATATTAGCTCCCGTTATTAACTCCCCAGAGCACTGTGCTGTGTACCAAAGTTATATACCAGATGATTATATTTCAGAATTTAGTTTGATGACGCCTTTCATTGTTGAATTTCCTTGGTCTTCGCATGAAAAGCTCATGCTCATGCATTGTTTATATATTATAACCTTGAATCTTGAATTCATAATAAAGTAAAAATATTTCAAAACAAAAAAAAAACTGCGACTGTATCAGCCGGTGGAATAAATTCGGAGTTTGAGCCCATGCGGCTTTATGAGGTTTATTTTAAAATTGATCGTTAACTTTTTAATAATATTCACAAAATATTGTATCTACGTTTATAAATGTAATACATTATTTCAAGAGCCTGAAAAAAAAAATAAGACTGGAGAAGTACAAGTATAAAGATACACTCAGATTGTTAAATTTCTCCGCCGTATAATAACCTCACTGGCATGACTTTCTTCTCTCTTTTTTCTTTTTGTATAATTGTTTTGTACAATTATTATTATAATGTCTTACAGTTTCGCAAATTTTATCTTACACTTAAAAGAAAAACATTTAAGATCATACAATACAAGATATACCTTACCTACCGTACTTCGCATTATATTAACTTGTGATTCTGTCATCATGTTTACTTTTTTGGTCATTTAAATGTATGTATTATGCAAAGAAGAAATAAATATAAAAAATTATGAGTCTGTGGTATAACTTACCGTATGTGTCTAACTCAGGATACCAACTGATATTAAAGTTGGAGAGGATGTTGTTATTACTGAAGATGATGTTATGTAACTTCTGGTTACTCTCATCATGTGACATAGTGGAATATATTCCGGTACAGAAATCCATATCTATCTGGTTAGTAGTCAGTTGATTACCACATAAGCAAGCGTTAATACCAGAACGAATTGCAGTATAGCTATGGAAAAATTGAATTTAGTAAAATGTTTGGCTTACTGGGCGACATCGGCAGTCAGGGCCTATTAACACTTGTGCGTTTAATGACGGTCGTACGACCGTCCACTGATGAATCAATCTTCACCCTCTGCACGCGCTTGATGACGCTATGCTACGTTAATTCTTCAGGCTATAGACGACTGTTCGCAAATATTATCTTATACTTAAAAGAAAAACCTTTAAGATCATAGAATACAAGAAATACCTTACCTACTTCGCATTATATTAACTTGTGATTCTGTCATCATGTTTACTCTTTTGTTCATTGAAATGTATGTATTATGCAAAGAAGAAATAAATATAAAAAATTATGAGTCTGTGGTATAACTTACCGTATGTGTCTAACTCAGGATACCAACTGATATTAAAGTTGGAGAGGATGTTGTTATTACTGAAGATGATGTTATGTAACTTCTGGTTACTCTGATCATGTGACATAGTGGAATATATTCCGGTACAGAAATCCATATCTGTCTGGTTAGTAGTCAGTTGATTACCACATAAGCAAGCGTTAATACCAGAACGAATTGCAGTATAGCTATGGAAAAATTGAATTTAGTAAAATTTTTGGCTTACTGGGCGACATCGGCAGTCAGGGCCTATTAAGCTTAAAGCACACTTGTCGACCGTCCACTGATGAATCAATCTTCACCCTCTGCACGCGCTTGATGACGCTGCTACGTTAGTTCTTCAGGCTATAGACGACTGTCTGACGATGCGTGTGTACCGGTTTCAGGCACAATATTGAGTTGAGATGAATAGTAGTTTTTTCAAGTTAGCTTGCTTTTTGGCTTTATACATTAACGAAATAGACATATGGAATATTTTTATCGTAAAATATTTATGAACGATTCATTGAAACAAATATGTACGGTATGGCGACAATATTATTAAGAGCTTTGTAGAGCTACTATCGATTGGTCTACGGGCTCAGTCTATGCAAGACATCATTACGATAATAAAGTGCATCTCACCTCACCTCATCTCATCTATATTATCTTACCGGTATCTTATTTTATCTCATCATACTGGGGCAGATGTAGGGGGAGGGTGCTACGGTCCGACCGCACCCCCCCCCCCACTGAATCTTATTTAAAAAATAATTGTATTGTTGATATTGTATTGCTTTATAATTGAAAATAACATACCAGTAAGATTTTAAAAGTATGGGAGTACAATTTCCGGGTACCCACCTCAGTCCCAATCATGGTGGGTCTGAGATGGTGTGATTCTCACGCACCCCCTACCGCCATATCCTGCATCAGCCCCAGTCATAATATAACTTACTGCACAATTAAAACACTTGATAAGCCTCACAAAGAATCTTAGTTCATAGAGCATTATTCCATCCTGCAACTGGAGAGTGTAAAATTAAATACTGGCTGTAAAAGAAAGTACTAAATAGGTATATAAATGTCAAAGTGAAAGCAGAGTATTACTTACGAATTTGAATTTCTCGCGCAGATATCACGACACTCTATGAAATCATCAGTCGCGTAATCGAACGTTCCCGGATTGACGTTCATTTCCCGTCCAAAAATATTGTCCTCATGACATCCAAATGAAGCTTAAAAAGTTAAATTCATCAAACTTAAAAAATAATAATACGGAATGTTGTATAAATCTATATAAGTAATTATGCCTATAGTGTTTATAATACAATAAAATTTGAGTGTTAGATTACATACGATTCATGGGTTATACTTATACTGGTGATGCCATTAGTTCAAACATTTACTACCGGTATTTAATATTTTCTGTGATACAATTAATTGTATTAACAGAATTAAAAATCAATACGGTATATATGTTGGTGTAGTTGGTTTGACTTTTATTTTCCTTGACGGAAAAAGTTTCCAATGCTTCCGTGGCAATAGTGTCCTAGACAATATTTTCCTAATTATGGTTATTTTGTTTTGTAAGTGACTGTTAAAACATTTCATAGTGTGACATTTTTTGGGTTGGGTCAACAATAATTTGATCAAATCTACTTGTTTCTCCGTAAAACACACTTCAGAAATGATCCCGATTACAGTACTTTTTGAAAGTACTTACACACTGTTAGAATCTGGACAGCCATAGAGTAAGATCGTAAAAATGTCTCTGAACAGGTCACGATCGATCCCTTATCAATACCAAAAGAGGGGTTTGTGTAACATAATGTCTTGGAGTCTCCATCGCTGTTTTCAAACAGCACGTCGTTATTAACAGAAGAAAAGCCTATAAAATCTCCGTAGCGGATTGTAAGACTTTCCGTATAATCCAAGCTTACTCGATGCTTCAATCCGTTGCCTTTGAAAGTGTTAATTTTATGTTTTCCAGTGACGAAAAATGTGCCATTAGTTGGTGCTCTCCGGAGTACAAGCAGTTGGATCATTCCATGGATGGTGGCAGGAGAAAACTCCCAACTCACAATCTTTCCAAAACAAATGCTGGGAATTGCATCAAAGACCACTACTGACCCGTTCTCACTAGATGTACGTGTGGTACTGACGGACCAGCCAATCATATACGAATCTGAACATGCCGAATCTGAGATATAACATAATCATATGTTACTAAAATGAATTGAAATAATAGCTAGATCTCGAACATGCGACCACTCGCTATCAAGGCAATATCATACCAATTAGACCGCAGAGACCTGTATGATATCGTGCAATATTATATAATTAAAAAATAGGCAACTAAATATTTTAAAACTGCAAAATGATAATTGTAATATAATTACAGTATATTTAGTCAAAACACCCAAACAGGTCTCTAGTTCGTTGGAACTTACCGTTGTAAATGGCTGACTCGGCAACGCTCAAACTACCAACAAGCTTTACAAAGGCAAAAAATTAGATATTATCATTATTCATTAATTTTGTTCTTTAAAAAGACAGAAGTAAAAAAGAAATTTAGAATGGGGAATGGAATCTCTAACATTTATGTAATGAGTTTTACAAATTCCAATCAACATATTTATCTTTGAATCAATCAATTAATATTTTAATATTATTATTATTATTATTATTATTATTATTATTATTATTATTAAGATAAAGAAACATCAATAAAAACAGTACTAACGATAATAATAATATACAGTACGGTAATAATAATGATAAAGTAATAATAATAATATAGTTAATACCATTTCTACTAATAATTGGTGTCATTGTTTTAAAAAATCAGAAATTACCTGAAATAAGTACAGGATTAGCATTTTAAAAGCTTCTTACTGCAATTTACAGGTAAGTACACTGAAATATGTCATTACGTAAATTACACCCTCAGTAACTGTAGGTCTTCTGATCTGCAATCGTTATTAAACATTAGCTTCAATGGCTAAATTATCCCGGTAGTGTTAACCAATCAGAATTGATTAGATTTAAGTTTGCGTCAGTCCTGCGCAAACTGGAACGTAGCATGTGGCAATATGTCTATATCTAATTGATCTGATATTGATAATCTGTCAAAATGTTGACGTTCTAAAAATTCACTTCACTGTTCATCCTCTACTATTATTCGAATAGATTAACTGTGGTATTAACGGCCTAAACGTATAAAATACACAATTGAATAGCTGTAAATGTGTATCATAGATATTATACACATAACATAGAGCAAAGAAACAAGTTTCTTTGCTCTATGACTATAATAGCTTATTATATTAATTATAAACTATTTTGTGATTCATTGTTCTTTTTTTTTTATTGTGACCAGACAGGAAATAATTTGCCATTATGGGATTTATGAGTTTTCTTGGCGGTCTGTAGGCCTACCTTTTTCATTAACTTCAGAATATTGTTAAATTTATCCGTCTGTTTGTATTTCTGATATGTCTTTTACCTGTTGCATTGTATTCATTGTTTGCAGTGGCGGATCCAGGGTGGGGGTCCAAGGGGTTCGGACGCCCCACTCTGTAAAGAAACGTAACAAAATACTTCTGGGTCCCGGCTTACAAAAGGCATGCTCACCTACCTAGGCATAGGTTGGCAGACCGGACAAACTAGGCTTAGCCCAACTAGCATTCAATTAAATACAATTAAAAACACTGTTTTTGGCTCGACGTCGTAATAATTTATGTACGAAAGTGTGTTCTTCAGGCCTATCGGTTCATCGATCTATAAGAAAGACTACGTGTCCAACTACTCAATATTGTTGAAAAAGAGGCCAATGTATTGACTTTATATCTTTTTATGGTATAGACCTAAGAATGAGATAAATTGACCTGAGATGTATAATTAAAGGTCGTTAAAAGACTCCTCAGAAGTCGGGAAAGCTCATTTCCGGCCATCTAGAAATCAAAATTTTCCCGGGGGAGGACCCTGGTTTGTTTGTCAAATAAAAAAATGATCATGCAAAAACTGAAGATCATTTTAACCTTGCCTACACCTATAAAACATTGCCGATCAGAAAACCAAACTGTAACAAAGTTAACGCGTTGCGGCGCTCTGGCGCTGGTGTAGAACTGCAAAAAGGAAAACAATGTAAAAACGTCAGCCACGACGGACAAAAAACTGTAAAAATGATCAATGTCGTAAAACGTGCAAGACCATTATTACTGTGCGGCACGAATTATAATGGTTGTTTCACACTGTATAGGCAATTTATGGCGCTTATACCCAAACACAAGAGACTTGTAATGAAATAATTAATGGAGCCATACTACCAAGTTCTCTAGTGGGCACAGTCCCTAGCCTGAAGGACACTTGAACCAATTTACTATTACCCATCATTCTTTACTACGGAGCTTTTTACACAACTTAAAAATTACCCTTGTCATACGCCTAACGATTCTTTAAGACACCCGAAACTAGCTAAAAAAATAATTTAACTAATATAAGTCGAATTTTTCTTATTTTGTATAGTAAACTTTAACGTGATTGGCCCAAAGCGGCACGCATGAAAACCTTTCAATAAAATACAAATTCCTGACTTAAAAGTATAGGCCACAATTCGAAGTGATTATTGACAATAAATAATACTTCTTATTGTACTTTTGATTCAACTTTTACATAGGCCTATGCATACCATATGTAAATGCTTGAGCAAAATCAATGTTTTTATAGTGTGTTGCCTCCAAATAGTGACACATTATTGACACAATCGATCAAATGTATTATGTATGTTTTCATCATAGTAACCCGAAGAAAAATAATTATTCAAAAGTCTTACTAAACTATTAAACATAGTTTAATTTTTGGACAATTTTTTTTTTTGTAATTGCTAGTAGGGAACGGAGCGCAGCTTGGATATTGTTATGAGGTCATCTGTTATTGACGTCGTACGCTCCTTCCGGTTTCAGTTTAGATGTTTAGCGGGGCCCGCCCAGGTGAGGATGTTATTAGATCATTTTAGATTAGCAAGTTCATGAGCACCTGGATCCCTGTTCATGGTTTTATCTTTATTTATACTTGGGTAATGACTCTCTGATCTGTCTCTGCGTTTTGGTTTCGTTGCAAGTACTTTTTACTCCCAGTTTGGTACATGATTGTGCTGTATGTGGTTTGTAATAGCAGATTTTGCATTATTGATGAATATGTTGTTGCTCTGGAATCCCTTGCCATTACCACCACCCCCCCCCCCCCACGTCCACGTCCGTGTTTGTTGTAACACATTTTTGTGTGATCATTGATGCGTGTTTGTAATGCCCTCCCTGTCTCACCGGGGTAAAAGTGTAGACAGTTTAAAAATTCGACTTCGTAAACTGAACCAGGAGTGTCGTCCATTTTAACACATGAAAGCCAGTTTTCCACTAGGCGAATTTATTTGCGCGAATCTATGCGTCGGTTCGCTTCCTGAGCTCTGATTGGTTGCGCATTTTTTCGCTTCGCAAAAACCCGATAGAAATGTGAATGCGCATGCGTATGAACCGACGCTTTCGATTTACGCGAATACAGTAAATTCGCCTAGTGGAAAACCGCCTTAAGGAGCTTTCGGTTTGTGCGACAAGACGCTAGAACGGAATCACTCATGCGTGACCGTCCTACCTGGCGTCCTACGTTCTCTGCATACGTAGATTTGGCCAAAATGCGTTCCAGAATCTATGCGTATGTGTAGTGAAACTTCGCGTAATGTTATTTACGAACTTTCAGATTTAAATTATCGTTGTCGTCCAAATTACTAAACTATAGATCTACAGTATAGACTGTCTTGTGAGAGAACTCAAGATGGTAACTTCGCAATCAAAACTTCCTTTTAGTTATTTAACGAATGATATGATATACAGTATATTGTTTAAAGAATTATTGCTGATTAATGCTGTAAACTTATAAGAAAATAAACTAGAATACACATCAAACGTGCGTAATTAATTTAATTAACAATTATCACAATCAAAAATAGTTTCATATTGGGTACAAATTGAAAAAATGGAATCTATATATTATATATTAACGTAAAACTAAATTGTTGACGTCAGAGCGAAAGCTCTCTACTCTTTTGAGCAACGTTTTATAATTAGGCCAATTTTTCAAATTATCTTATCGCTTTTTATTCGTAATAGTAATTGCCCTTTTGCCTTTGAAGGCAGGATAATTTTATAAGTATGTGTGTAATTAAAAAACAAAAACATTTTAATAATAAAAGTTGTTTGGAAAAATACAGCAGATTACAAAATACAACAAAAGCATAATATATTGTTCTTGTTTTCCCAAAAAAGAGAGACTAATATAATGTATATCACCAAGCAACAACAATAAATATATATACAAATTTAATTAATTAGTTGACGTGAAACAACTAATAGTCAATACTGAAACCTTTGGCAAAAATGTCCACAATATTATCAAAACAGAAGAAACATTAATATAGTTAAAAGCCTTTGATTTATAATGTCTTGCGTCTCCAGAGGCGGATCCAGAGATGTCCAAGAGGGGGACCGAAAGTGGAACTGATTGACATAATACTACCCTAGGGGATCCGGGGACATGGCCCTGATGCTGTTTGAGCGATCAATTTGTTCTTTTTCTTTCTTTCTTTCTTTCTTTCTTTCTTTAATTCTTTCTTTCTTTTTGTTTTACCTTCCAAAAAAATCCACCCCTAGTCTCAAGAGAAACATAGTATGGACTTAAAAACCAAATGCTGTCGCTGTAAGTTCGCCAGCCGTCTACAATTAATGATCATGTGTGTGGAAAAAAACTAGTAATTTAACCAGGTTAAATTACACTGTTCCCTGATTTAACAAACTATATATCGAATGTTATAGTAAGAATAGCCTAAAGGGCTTGGTACAAAGTCACACACAAGCAAATATTTAGCTCGTCAATATCTAAACAATACAAATTGGTACAATCTATTGTACCTTGTAAAGTACAATTATTCCTAAAAATAAATTCTAAGCTGATCAAAACAACAGGTCAGTTGAAGTACAATGTTATTTTATATCACTGTTAATAAGTATAAGAGAAATAAACTTTCAGAGTCAGATCAGTTTATCACTTTTTTTGGTATATCTGTTCTGGGACTTTCCACTTAAAAATAAATTCTAAGCTGATCAAAACAACAGGTCAGTTGAAGTACAATGTTATTTTATATCACTGTTAATAAGTATAAGAGAAATAAACTTTCAGAGTCAGATCAGTTTATCACTTTTTTGGTATATCTGTTCTGGGACTTTCCACTTAATGGTCCTCATATCCATACCCTACTCCGAATTGTCACGAAAATTTAATCATTTCTTCATTGGACCATGACAAACTATTCTGATTGGTAAGTTTTTGAGATATTTTTTGGGATAAACGTCTGAGGGTAGAAATTTAAATGACCAAAATCATGGCCTTTGGTTTAATCTTTCGATGCCTTCAAAAAACAATTGAAATGCCAGCTTTTTCAGAGAATCAAGCTACGCACAGTTAGCTAGCGCTCTGAGATTTTCCTGTAGAGAGCACTTTAAAAATGCTTGTTTACTATTATTATTATTGAATAAAAACAGAAATGCAGAAAAATATATATATTAACTACACAGATGCTTTTAGGTGGTGAAAATTATGCGGTTTGTGTTATTCATCGGAATTCCCAGTTCTTCTGATTTCTCGTGTCGGATGAATTCATTAAGTTTATCAACCATTAATATCAACTTCTGTTGCATTGTGTCGCATTCCCTTTGCATGGGCTCAACTCCTTAAAATGAGATATAATAATATTAATAATACCAACAATTATATATATATATATGTGGGGTCAGGGGAAAAGGCCCAACAGGGCAGGGCTGGGGCTGTGTTCCCGGAGCTCACGCATTGTATTGGCATAGATGAACCTATTTAATGGATTTCTGAGGAGAAAATCAGACAAAAATTCTGCTATACAAGTTTGAAGAAAATCACTTTTCCAGTGGATTTCCAACTCAGGCTTAACGCAAGTTTTAACCACAGTGTGGTAAATCATGGTGTCTCACAGGATTTGTCAGGTCCCTGGAATTAAAGTGCAAGCATTTTCCCAAAAGCTTCCAATCCAATTCTACACCAAGCACAAAATCCAGTCTATTGGATTTTAATTTTCTATAGCTACACGTAGATCACATCCAAGATCTTAACTTGTTTCTTTACTGGACGTCACAAATCATTGAAAATTACTTACCTTCAATGTAATTATACTTCTTCCGAGGTACTTTAATGCGTTTTTCTTTGAAACCTGTCCAGAGCTTAAACCGATAGACCATAAAGTCGACAATCTCAAGCTCGTTGTTTAGCCTCTCGTTATCTTCTCTGGTTCGTGAAAAGGCCTCATTGATTATCGTCAAAAACAGATTCATTAAAACAAACACAATAGTCATCATGAATGAAAAGAAGAAAACAGCTCCGAGAACACGATTTTCTTCTTGCATGGCCAAGAAATCAAATTTACCTTTTGAAAAAAAAAAATTTAAACTATTGATTCTTATCACAATGTCGTATCATTAATTCATTTTTTGTTATTGATACATTGACAAAATTACGATATATATATATATATATAAACATTGCCTGACCATTATTGATATTAGGCTGCGGAGACTATATATATATATAGAACTACCAGAGCATACCGGTACTTTATAATTGCACAACCTGCCTATACTAGCAAAAAAAAATTAAGTAAATGTAAGTTAAATGTACTAACTGGTTCATTGTTAACTTGATTCTCTGGTAAATTGGTACTGATTAGTTTTAGGATAGTTCATGGGTTATATTCTTTATGAGCTTTGAGACGATTTCTAATTGTATAAGGCTCTATACGAGTCGATTTCCATTCCAGTCCTAAAGTAATCGACATTCGGACATATTTATTTTGTTTAACCGTGTTCACTCGAGCTGTGAAAGCAGCTACCTCATTCGACTAAATTGGTGGTAGCTACCGTGTGTACGCTGAACCGTGGACGTCTCTTGGTGTCCCCGGTTCAATTTTCATCGCTGCTTTCCTTGTGTTTCAGCTGGAGAGCTGAAATGCAAGTTTCAAAAGCGCACCGTCTTTCAGATGAGACGCTTAAGCCGTTGGTCCCGTATGCAAAATGGACCATGGGTCACCAGAAGGACCCCACTGGAAATGAGTCTCAGGACTTTCGTGGGTTTCTTGAGTTTGGTTTGTATCACACTGAAGAAAACCATACCACCATCCCGTAAATATATAGTTATGGAATAGGTAAATGATAATATGTAGTACATTAGCAATTGTTTTTGTTTACAGTTGTTGCCTTCTTCGGAAGATTTTCTGTATATATTTTGTTGTACACATTTTTAACCTCAATATATTATTAAGCCATCATATCTGACGTATATATAGTTAACCAGCAAAACAGAAAACGTTATTATAACATTGTTGTCAGGTATGTCAGAAAATAAAGTTAAAACAACGTTTAGTATACCAAAGTGTAAGGTTTTTATAACCTTACACTGATTGTTAGCTGAATGCTAAACATTCTTGAAGAGAGTTAATATAAAATTACATTCAATACGTACCAAGAAGTGTTGCAAAGAGAGATTCCAACGTTGTTATGAAGCTACTATAGTCGTTTAATGTTGTACTGAACAAGAGGTACCCACAAGATGCATATGCAGCGAAGACGATCATAAATACCATCAAAAACATAATAAGCTCCAACCAACAGGAACCGATTGTATTGCTTAGCATTAGCATGCGCCTGTTGAACCTAAGCAATTTCAAGAACTTTGCCGTCGAAATGAACAGAATAAAGCCAAGTATGTAGTAATACATCTACAAAATAACAATAATTATCAAATAGTAAGGTTTTCTATGAAAGCAGGCGCATTTGTTTGTGATGTAGTCCCTTCATCTTCAAAAATAAGCTCCAAAAGTATTGCAATGAACAACACTTGACAAAAACAGTTGTATGCCCATATATAGACATGATGTGCCTATATATGGTCATGATGTGATGTCATCATGACCATATTTATATTTAGGCATGTCATGTTTTTTATATTCAATTCAATTCAATGCAATTTTTTCCATTAAGCCTGTTTTCCATAAAATCGCTACAAGATATTGCCGATAGCTTTCCATGATGCTGATTGGTCAGTCGAATCAGGGAGCCTTACCGATTGCGTCGGGACTGCTACACAATACAATGATTGCACTGAAAATACTGTAGGGAGAGTGTAGCGATTTTATGGAAACAAGACTTCAGAGATTTTACTACCGTATACAAAACTCCGGAAAGGTGCTTTAATTAATATGTGAAGAATATTTGTTTGTAAAATAATTTACTTTATGAATTCCAAAGTGATTTGAAAAAAACGCAAAATTGTTGTTATTCCCTTAAATTATTTTTATCAAAACACACACACAAAACATGCTTGAACAATAACTTTCGATACAATCGACTACCGGCACTTTATTTTTTGTAAAACTGAGTAAGAAACAGTATGGGTTGCGTTGGTTGTATGAAAAATAATAGTATAACATGTCTATTTCAATCATGCTTCACACTTTTATAACATAAAAAATACTAGTTATTCAAATTAATCTTTTTAGTTTTGCACTATTTGATTTGTAACTACATAACCGTGACTTTTTGGGGGCAATTGGGGCCGGGCGAGTAATTTTTGGAGGGGGGTGTGATGTGATCTTTGTAATTATATATAAATTGTTCATACTTTTACATAGGAGGAAGTGATGAAAAGAATGCAATGCACATCATTATATTGAGGATGAATTTTAACATGTGTTAATCAACCATCTCATACTTTAACTGCTCTTGCCTAAGTTCAATAATAAATAATCTATCACAGAGCTATAATTAGTGTGCGGAATAATCATTCTCTTCACGAACGTATTTATTACATAATGGGTTAAATTGTTTGTATTTCTTGATTTCATACATACATTTGTGCAAACAAAACTAAGATAGCGCTTATATTAAAAACAATTTACATACTTGTTCCCAGCTGGCAAATATCTGAAAGTTGATAAACTGACTTATATCCTCTTCTCTTGATGCTTTCAGGCGAACGCCAAAAATGTAGCGATTTATGTACGATATCAAGGCCAGTATAGATAAGATTAATACGGATAGCTCAATTAAGTTGCTTGGTTTCTTAAAGTATTTTTTTCTTTCCCGCCTAATTGCTGACACTTCCTTAGATAGGAAAAGAAGTATGAAGAGGCTGAACACCACCTCGCATATAATGACAAACAGTCCTAGAGCGCCAAGGTATTGATCTAGGAGTACTACTTGAAAATAATAGAATGTCACTGCACCTATAACATAAAATTAAATATAAAAAAAAATTATAAATAAGCACGTCAACCATCGTTTTAACAGCACATGAGTATGTGAATGGTGAACGTATTTATAATTAAGCCTATCAAGTGTGTATCAATAGATGTAAGTAAAATGCATTATGTTTGCAAACATACTTTTTGTTTAAATTTGTGTACTTGGCAATAAACATAGGCAACATGTTACAGTTATACAATCAGGTATTTTAGACTAAAAAGTCTTAAGAATCAGATTAATACAACCTTTTTTCTGGGATATATGTGTGTTTTATTGTAATTCTAATTTCAATTAGTTATAAAATTAATGCCCTGATAATTGCTTAGCACAATTCATCCTCTATCACCCAGCACAAGTGACATAAAGCAATATTTACTTTAATTCATGAGTAGGCTGATAATGCATACAGGTATGTACAAATTACCTCCTGTTGGCGGGAATTCAACAAGCATGTATGACACGCCGAATAAATTTGTAGGCGGGTTGTAGACTGCAAACTCTAAGAAAACGGCCCGTGTGTATTGGTCGACCCATGTAGATTGTCTCAGGTATTTAGCAGTTTGTTGAGCAGTTGATTCAGTTTTTCCTAGGTTAGCAACATATCCACCTCCTCCGTAATACGAATACATCCCCCACATTAGCAGGTTCTCTAGTTCGTACCAACCCTTGAATTTCCAAGCATCTTTGTAATCAAAGTCACTTTGCACTTTATTTAAAAAGCAGAAATTGAGTAAAATAGGTTAATTTACAGGAGCACACACTATATCAATTATAAAAATTTAATTTTACATCACCTGCAGATGAGGCTTAAGTAATGGATCTATGCACATTATAATATTACTGTGTGTACAGGAAGCAAGTCAGTTCAGAAAAGAGTAGAAAATTACCACTCTTTTTACTGGAAAATACACTTTCTACTCTACCATCAAATGAATTATTTCCTATACAGTGATATTCGATTTTAACAATATTTGGCATAAATATAGGCCTATAGGCTTATTATATCAAGTCAAATCACTTTTTGATGTCCATAATTGTTGGTTATTATATGTATTTTCATAGGATTAATGTTAGATTAAACATAAAAATAGCAACAAAACCAAAGTTGAGCATTAGGCCCTACCCGTTTTGTTCAACAGAATCCAGCCTTCCATGAAGTCTCTTTCTTCTTCGGATCCAAAGCTGTATGGCGGCTTACATGTAATATTAAGGCTCTCTACTGTGCTTGATGTTTGACAGTAATCTATCAAAGTTTTATTTATATGATATATATATTATTAAAATTTAAATAAAAAACGTAACAAAACTAAAATTAAATACAGAACAAGCACGAGACCTTTCTAAATGCTGTTAAATTCATGCTCCATCAATCACTCTTTTCAAATTTAATCAAATTAATAAATACACATTAAAGTTCAAAGTTCATTTTATTTGTCATATAATTTTAGTGAATAGAGTACATAAAATTTGCTTTCGCGGTACAGTGTAATAAAAATATAGTATACTATAACATAAAAATACAAAACACAGATTGCATAGAATATCACCAAAGGGTATAGAATTGCAAGACCTCCGATTGCTCTCATTTTGTATGCACACAATGAAACGTAAAGTACTACCACGACATAGGGGGAGCCCTATTCCAATTTGAATTGAGTTCACTCGAAAGTAGTAATTTGCCGGACACGCACCCTCGTGATAATACTATTTGACCTCTAGCAGTTCTATACTCTTTGACAGCACACACAAACTATTAACAAATTATTGCGTTTTTATACAAACCTTTTTGAACCCTGACTTGTTGCAGTCTAGCAGTACTAAGTAAAGACGACGATCTATCAGCAACAAGACGTTCGATTTCATAGAGCTGGTTTGGTGTCCCATTGTAACCTTCTCTCGAGTAAAGACTCGGAACAAGAACCTCATCCAAGTATTCCCAAAAACTCTCCCGAGAGTAAATCTACGAATAAGGTAGGTTTACAGTATTAGTAACGTACACATACGCTATCAAATACACCTAAAGAGGGAGGGGGTCGTGGGATAATTGGAACTCAATGGAAACAAGGTAATCTGAAATTAGAAACCTTCAATCTGTTGTGCAATATTTATACTGAAAAATTAATGGCAATCAATTCAACACCGGTCGGACCGCTTCATCATAGGTACTAGTGTGGCAATCTATCGGCCGAATTTGCACACCGGCCGGACCGCTTCCAGTCAACTGGGCACAATTTGACTCACCTCACTCTGGCCTACTGTCAATCCGCTCAAGTCCTCTTGGCCTAGCCAAACAAATCCAAACGATCCGCCAGAGATGGCTCTGTTGGCAGTTGCGGCAGTAAAATATATAAATAGAATTTTCATATCTGCACCTTACTTCCGTTAAGCACCAAATTTGAGCAGGACAGAGATACATGTAATTTGTCAATGTGTAAAATCCTGAAGTAAATCGGTCCAGTAGGTTTTCAAAGTTATGCACCAGAAGGACACACACCAAACACAGACAGGCACACAGATGCGCGCTATTAACATACTCTCCGGGGAGGCGAGGGTAATGATTAGGTCTCTTACTTAAATCTGATGATCGTTTGAGTTTTTTCTTCCGTCGTTGCTTTCAATCTGTCTATGTTGTTTACTGAATGGCACTGAATTTTTTTCATATAATACAAATTTCACTTAAGCTGCTGCAGCAAGGTATTTTTTTTTTCATTATCTTTTATTTCATTTTTATTATTTGATTTTTATTTACTTAACTTACCACTCAGCATCGTCATTACGAATGTCGCTAAGTTAGTTACACTTTCCTTAGTCGATGTACATTGACTGGCGCCACCAGGAAACCCCGCTCCGCCATCTTGGATGGTGGGGTCGAGAGTAAGCAACCCCTCACCACGGTTTATGTTTTCCTTTGTTTTTCTTATCCACATAGATAGTTCTACTTTTAACATGGGTGGCGCCAGTCAAAGTACATGGACGAAAGAATGTAGTAATCAACCAAGCCACAATCGTACTGATAATGCTGACTGGTAGTCAGCAAAATTGTTTACATTTAAAAAAAATTGAGAAATGTCTCATTTAAAAGGAAATTAAAATCAAATAACAAAATGAAAAACGATTTTCAATCATTTGTTTTATTATTATTGTTGGATAAATAATTATTTTTAATTTTAACTCTTTACAAACCTTGTAAAATGGCTTTTTACCATGGTAATCAGCATTAATATACGCGTCAACCATGGATTTCTGCATGCTACTTCCATCACTACTGATATTACCAAAAGTAACAATGATCAGTATAAATAGGAACACCAAATACGTCGTGATTTCTTTCAGTATCTTGTGCATCTGAAGGTCTTTTTGTCTGTAAAGAAATTAAAAAAAAAATTGATATAGCACATTACAACATGTCAGCACCTTTTGCAAGTGTTTGTGTATCTAAATAAGGTTACACGCACCCGTGAATTCCAAATGTTTCATAACAGTCTTCACACAAATAGAATTAAAAACCAAAATATGAGTCAACAAACAGGCAACAGCAGGCCGTGAAGTTGCCATTAAAAAGGATCCATGTTTTTGAAGTTACCTCTCTCTCTTCAAATTCTCTATTTCATCAGAATCAGGAGGAACCGCATTGGCCAACGCGGCTTCGCGTTCACTTCTTAAAGCGTCATCTTCGTCAGTACCTCTATTTGACATGTTTTGGTGTAACCACTCTTCGTCCTCTTTTAACTCCGGTGTTTGGCAATCTTCCTCTTTATCTGGGCTCTTGATAACCAGTGAGTAGAAAGTTGCCAGTAGTATCACCTAGATTTAGGATTAAAGAGTTCAAAATATATATATATATGTGACAAAGACAAGCCAAACCAGTAACTCGTCGCAAAAATCGATTTTGAGTTATTAATACAGTGTTAGAGAGTAAAATAATAGCTATAAAATGGTAAAAAAATCATTCAAATCGGACATTTCCTTATGAAGTTACAAGTGTTTAAACATACAGCTGTATAAAGAACAATATATGAGAAATGAGCCTTCAAAGTTTATGATTTCAGGCATTACTCATGCAGAAACTATCATCAAATCCTTAAAAAGTGTTGTTTTAACATTGAAAATGGGGAAAATAACAGCATAGAATGATTTATAGATATGTAAAGATTAGTTTAGTGCAATAAAATAGATTTTTTTTAATTTAACATTCCAACATGTTTTGGCCATTTTCTCTGAAACACGATTTGCAACGAGTGACTGGTTTGGCTTGTCTTTGC